ATTTTAAGTAGAGATGGGGTTTCACCATGTTGACCAGGCTAGTCTTGAACTCCTGACCTCAAGTGATCCGCCTGTCTTGGCCTCCCAAAGTGCTGGGATTACAGGTTTGAGCCACTGCACCTGGCCCAGTCTGCGATTTGTAAATCCAGGATCTGAAGTCTTTTAGAGTTTGTTTATGCTGTCTTAAGTCTGTACTGTTTCTCACTAATGGTGTCTTATTCTGTGCTTGTTATTTTTTTTTTTAAATGTGAGCTACTTATTTTCTTTAATATTGTATTTATAGTCATTCTTTATGGCTTAAGATGAAGGTGGGTTCCTCCACAGAGGATTGGCATTTACTTCTGCCAGGTGTCTGAGAGCATTATCAGTCAAAAATTCTTAATTACGGCTGGCACGGTGGCTCCCGCCTCTAATTTCAGCACTTGTTGAGAGGCTGAGTTGGGCAGATCACCTGAGGTCAGGAGACCAGCCTAGCCATCATGGTGAAACCCTGTCTCTACTAAAAATACAAAAATTAGCTGGGTGTGGTGGCATATGCCTGTAATCGCAGCTACTCAGGAGGCTGAGGCAGGAGAATCACTTGAACCTGGGAGGTGGAGGTTGCAGTAAGCCGAGATGACACCACTGCACTCCAACCTGGGCAACAGGGTGAGACTCCCTGACAAAAAAAAAAAATCTTAATTATTAATTTGAGGTTTTTGGGTATCACCCAGGTAATAAGAATTCAAGCTACGTTTTTGTGTGAGAATTGGATTGTGGTTCTCAATTCTCAGATATGATTTTGCTTTTCCCCTGTCTACTAGGTGTCAAGGTTTAAGATGGCTAATTGTCTTTGTAGACTCAGGGGAATGGTGCCTATGCTAGTAAGGGGCAAGTTTATTTCTAGTATATCCTTACACCAAATGAATAATCCTTGGAATTACAGGGTTTTTTTTGTGTGCGTGCGTGTTTGTGTGTGTGTGTGTGTGTGCGTGTGCGCGCATAATGCAGGTCATGGGTTTTGGGTCTTTCTTACAAGGCCATGAAAACTAAAGCTCCTAGTAATTAGGTTTAGCACATGCCCTTGAGATAAAGATTGGCTGATTCTACTAAACTCTCTAGGTTCCTGCCTTTATTTAGTTTTTTAACTTAATAATTTCTTACCTTATTGTCAGTTAATCAGTATATTAAAGAAGATTTAAAAAACGTTTTTTCCAGGGATTTTGTTTCCAGTGTGACCAGTGTGACCATTGTGACCTAGTCCTTGATATTTCTAGAAACAGAATCCTATATTCTCTTTATACTTCATTATCCAAATTTTCCTCAAGGGATATTTAAGACAAATAATACTCAACAGAAATATTTAAAATCAATATGCAAATATCTTACATGCAAATATTTTGCATGCAAATCTATAGATTTTATAAAGACTACTTCTTAACATAAATTTTAGGTAGATGTTTACCAAACATCTGGTTGACTAGTTTGTAGAAGTTTATTATTCATTTTATTAAATAGACACTTAAATATTATTGTTCTATATAGTACATTTAGCCTTTGACTCACGAATTTGTTGGCTCAAATTCACTTTAGATGATTTTCAAGATTCTGCTATGTAACAAACGATCTCAAAAATATTTGTGATTTACAACAACAAATATTTTTGTTTTACTCTTGTTTCACATTAGTAGCTGTATGTCAGGAAATACAAGTCAGTTGCTGCAGTTCTGTACAGGGTGAGAGTTTCAGGTCTGCTCCATATACTTTCTTATTCTGAGATCTTATCTGGAACATACCTTTCTCATGGCAGGCAGCACAAGAGTAAGAAATTGATCTGAATTTTGCAATCAGATTTAAAGCTTCTGCTTTGATTTAGCATTTAACATCTGCTCACAAAGCCCTGGCTAACGCAAATCACATGACCAACAAGAATACAACTCTTCAAAGCTGTGTTGAACACCTTTTTTATGACTGAGGTTGCTCTTAATCTAAATTCTCTTCCAGAAAAAGGATTTTAGCCTAGAATCCTGATTTGTAATTGTCAGCAACATAAATGTCTAACGGAACAAACCAAATGGAAAAAAGAAAACAACCTCAAGTCACATTTCTGTCATTCTAGGTCAGGGTTGAAATATACTCTGTGGGAAAGGCTGTCAAGCCTGTCAGTGTTTAAACTAATTTGGAAAGAACTTTTCATTCTTAGAAATGTATAATTAATTAAGCGTTAGGCAAAAGAGATGAATTCTCATTGGAGTTAAAATTGGAAGTTATAATAAAAAAGCTTTATTTCAAAATGTCATTCTTAAAATCATTTTAAGAGTAGCAAACTTGCAGGGGGTTGCTGGGAGTTACTGAATATTTTTCGGTTACAGTGCAGGATCACATATTAGTTTCTGTTTGTGTTGTTATTACATTGAAAATCCTAGATTGAATTATCATTTCCTGGAATCACAATCAATATTAGATTTGAAAGAATCTAAAAAACTGATTTTTGAACTGTAGTGCATTAACATATTTTTGTGTTGCAATCAGCTAAGTATGTCAAAATCATTAGTAATACATGACAAGTAACTATATACTAGTGATAATCATAGAAGATTGTGAAAGATATACTTACATTTGTTTTGCAATATCTTCACTTTCGATTACTTGCATTCTGATTTTCTTTCTTTTTTTTTTGATTGGAGCTGAAAGGAGTTAAACCTAGGCAGTCAGTAATTTGCATAATCCTGAGTATATCATGGTTGTTTGTTTCAAATATGGTTGCCATCCACTGGAAAAAAAAAGGTTTAGTATCATTTCTTAAAGAGCATGTAGTCCTACCTTGATCAGAACTTGAAATGCAGAGAGTAATCTATCTAGTCATACAACTCATTAGCTAAGTCTGTATCCCAGGCTTCCTTGCTTCCAGTACATTGCTTTTTCCAACAAAATGATCAAATTTTCAAAAGCCAATATATGAAATTGGGGCTGAGGTAGAAGAGAGAATTTGCTACCTTTTTCTAATCTTTAGTCTCCAAAGTAAAAGAAAAGTACCAGGGAAATGTCCAGATGGTGTATTTTGCATGTTATCTATGCTCTAGGAACATTCTTTTTCAAATCTATTTGATTGCAACTCACAGTAAGAAATTGTTTAAATCACAACATAGGACATACTCTCACCTTCCACTATATTTGAAACAAAAAGGTTCATGAAGCAATTTTTGCCCTTACTAGATATTTTGCACTCTGATCTTTCATATTGTATTAAATTCTAGCTAATTTCATATAAAAATAAAACGGATTTTTGAGTTGTAGTTTGAAAAACATGCAACTCCAAACTTATTAGCTTTACTGAAATAATGTCACAGAATAATAAACTTCCTTCACGTTTATTTGTACTACAGTCTCTCAGGCTTCAGAACAGAACCTGGTAGAATCTTTTCCTCTTTGGAACACCAGTTCATGACAATATCTCAAGAGATTTAAGACTCATTGTTTCCCACGTTTACATCTCTGAATTCAAGATGTGTCTCAGGCCAGTCGCTGTGAGCCACCACTTTGGGAGGCCGAGGCGGGTGAATCATTTGAGGTCACGAGTTCAATACCAGCCTGGCCAACATGGTAAAACACCCTCTGTACTAAAAATACAAAAATGAGCTGGGCATGGTGGTGCAGCGCCTGCAATCCCAGCTCCTCGGGAGGCTGAGGCAGGACAATCGCTTGAGCCTGAAAGGCGGAAGTTATGATGGGCCGAGATGGCGCCACTGCAGTCCAATCTGGGCGACACAGTGGGATCCTGTCTCAAAAAAGAAAAAAAAAAAAAAAAAAAAAAAAAAAAAAGCAATGTGGCTTAAAGGTGCCTTACATATCAGTGGTAGGGCACAGTTTCATTGGCGGCCTTTGTTTACTTTCTTGGTTGACATACAATGGTAAGTCTATGATTTTTTAAGAGCTACTATAAAATATATTAATAATGATTATATAGGTAATACTCTATTGCTTATTAATTTCAATGTAACCAGCTTATCAGAATGCCTCTGACTTCTTGTCAAGAAAATGCAATGAGATGAGAATTGCTTAAGAAAAAATCCTTAGTTCTGGGCTACAAGGGAAAATGAGTTATGACCCCAGTTTAATTATAGAAAACTTTCTCATTTGCCTTCATTGTGATCAGGGTTTGAGTATGACCTTTCTCTAGTCTACCTCCCTTACTTCTGAATAGTTATTTCATTAGGTGGCTAGAGGGGTCTTCAGATCATGGCTAAAAAAAGAAAGCAAAAGGTTAAGTCCTAGAGTTAAGGCATTAGGAAAAAAGCTAAGGCATTAGAATAAAAAAAAACACACACACACAAGGATTAGGCTTCATTTTAAAAATGGAACGAACTGCCAAATTCCTGTGTACCCGTTTAAACTGTCACCAACCTAACACACTGTAAAACTTAATGACTGTAAAACTGGCAGCAGGATTCTGAACATAACAAGGAACAAAAACAAGTTTGCTAGGCTGTTTTCATCCCAGCGTGATTGAAATACACCACTATTTCCTCAAAAAACCAAAAAAAACTCTCAAATGAGGAAAGCAGTAAATTAAATGCCACGGTTAATATGCTACTAGAAATAGGAACAAGTAGTTACTGAATGCTTCTCAGGCCAGAGTCTCTCCACCACGAAGCGTTCGTTTTTCTTTGTTTCGCTAACGCTTTCACCAAGCCAAAGGGCTGGGGAGGGGACCTGACTGAGCCCCGCGCCCTACGGTGCAGTCTCCTCAGGTTAGGAAGGGCCCAGTACGACCGGTCCAGAAGGCCTAGCCGATCAATAGGCGCTGAGCCAACGGCGGTGGGTTCGCTTCCTGAGGCCGCACTTGGGTATGCGGCAAGGGACTGGCTGGTGATAACACCCTGGCGAAACTAGGTGGACAGCGGCTCCAAGGCGGTACGCTGCCGCGGGGCAGGGGAATCAACTCCACAGCCCCATCGGCTCACCATCACGTGACGGGAAGAGGGCGTGGCCGCAGCCAGCGAGCAGGGGGGCGGGGCCTTCGGGGGAGGGCACTAGAATGTGAAGGATCTTGGCGGTTCTGGGTGCCCAGAAAGGCGGCGACGCGGCGGATGACAACATTAGGCCGCGACACGCTCCTGGCCGGGCGGCGGCTGTAGCGTTAGGTTTGGCCGCAGCAGTAGCCGCTGCCGGTAGCGAGCAGAGTGAGGGAAGGTGGGGGTCCGCCCTGGCCGGTGGGCCGCTGGGCCGAAAGTTCCCGCCCGGCTCGGGGGCCGAGCCAGCAGTGCTTCCGCGGCAGCTGGGCAGCGCCTTGCGTCCAGGCTCGCGCCCCAGCTGCCGCCGACTACAGCGGCCGAGAGAAGTTGGGGTCCGACTGGACGCGTACAGGGCCCGGGACCCCAGCGCCGCGGCGACCCCAGAGGAACCGGCTTCTTGCGTCCCGCCTCCCTGGAAGCTCCGCACTGGTGAGTGGTTCTCCGTTCTTGAGGTGGGGGTGCTGGATCCGCACCCCTCAGGGCGACTGCGCACCCTTATTGCTACGTTCTGAGCTCGGGCTGTCGGAGACTCCTGGCCACTCGCGTCGAGGAGTTCTTCAGCTCCTTTGTCCCCTTTTGGAGTAGGGGTTTGGAAAGGCTGGCGGGGTGGAGTGTTTTGGGGCCCACAGTAGGTGCATCTGCAGCCTTACAAAGCCGAGGCAAAGGAACAGGGAGTGGGAGGCTGTAGGAGCATTTCGACCGCCGCGGGTGTCTGTCCCTCCTGAAGTTTGACAGGTCGATGGCAGGGTCTCGTTGGGAGCCCCCGCGCCCAGGAGAGCTGGCGCTTTGTCGCTCGGTGCGGTTGAGGCGAGGCTCCTTTTTTCCTGTGACAGCACCAGAGGAGGCTGTGCCGCGCACCGCAGACCGCACCCGCCTTTGCAGAGCCAAGCGACGTGGTGATGTTCCTCTAAGCTTCAGTTCTCCCAGCCTTCTTGTAACGTAGGAGGAAAGGCAAGCCTTTGCTGTGCTTTTAAATTTAATGTTTGTTTCTAAGCCCTCTCTCAAGAGTGGAATTAGGTTCCAAGGAGCTTCACATGGAGCATGCTTTAGGTTCATTGAGCCACCCACTCAAGACTGGTTGAGGCGAAGCAACAGTATATGCAGATTTTCCATTCACAAAAGTCATTTAATACTCTTCTTTATGAGAGACATATGCGTTGCAGAACGTAACCTAATTTCATTTTATTTAAATGCTTTCTAAAATAATAGGTAACTTGGACTTCTACGTAAACAGATGAGTAAACTCTGGTAATGTTAAGCATATGTGCGTTAAATAAAAAAATGTAATGATGTTTTTGCCTTTCTGCTGCTAGAAGACTTAAATGACGTCTGAGTAGTAATACAGTGTCTTCTGCATGGCAGTTAAGTTTTTCCCCAAATTAGCCCTGCTTTTGAAATAATCATTTAAAACAGTTTTGCCTCCCTTAGTATCTAGAGAGAGCAAGAATTGTGGAGAATAGAGGGTGAATTAATTGTTAGATTTTGCCAGTTTCCTAGGGTTTCATCTCAACTTGATCATGCTAAGAGGTTATGATCAGTGTCTATGCTTGCCAGAACCTGTTTTGCAGTGAAATTATTAAGATCATGCTAGTTTAATAAAACAGAAAAGGAAGAGTCAGGCCATGCAATTTAATATGTCCTTTATAAAAGTACAACTAATTTCAAATGTTTGTTACCTTTTCTTTTTTAGTATTAACCATGTATGGAGTGACTGTAATATGCCTGCTCAAAGGGCTGGGAAAGGGAATAGATGAAACTTAAGCTACCTTTAGGTCTTTAATTATGGAGATTAAGTTATTGCATTCACATTCCATGTCAACCGTTTGAGCAGCAATACTGTGTACACAGGTGCTTAGAAATGTCTGTTTAATTAAAAATGGTCCTGGTTTATTTCTCTTTGAATCATAATAGTTGTTGAATCACTGATCTGTGGAAAGATGCTACTATATTTTTCAGTTAGAATGTTATTGCATTTTAGAGGCAGTCAAATATGTTTTTTTATAACACATTCAGGGTACTTATACATTTGGCAATATTCAGTTCCTTGGTTCATTTAAAAATTGAAAGCCTTAAAATAGAGTTTGGAGATAAATTTACAATTGTGTGTAATGAAGTTATGTTTTAATTTGCTTTAAGAAAAATGATAGTATCAATTTGTAAAATATGAATTACAAAAAGTTTTTTTTTTTTTTTGAGACAGAGTTTCACTCTGTTGTCTAGGCTGGAGTGCAGTGGTGCAACTTGGCTCACTGCAGCCTCTGCCTCCTGAGTTCAAGAGATTCTTATGCTTCAGCCTCCTGAGTAACTGGGATTACAGGTACGGACCACCATGCCCGGCTAATTTTTGTATTTTTAGTAAAACGGAGTTTCACCATGTTCGCCAGGCTGGTCTCAAACTCCCGGCCTCAAGTGATCCCGCCCGCCTCAGCCCCTCAGTGTGCTGGGATTACAAGTGTGAGCCGCTGCACCTGGTGGATCTTTTAAAGTATGAATTGCGGATTTATTTATTTATTTATTAAGAGACAGAGTCTTGCTCTGTTGCCCCAGGCTGGAGTGCGGCGTGATCTCAGCTACCTGCAACCTCCACCTCCTGAGCTCAAGCCATTTTTTCTTCTCAGCCTCCCTAGTAGCTGGGATTACAGGCATCTACTATCACGCCTGGCTAATTTTTGTTTTTTAATAGAGATGGAGTTTCACCCTGTTGGTCAGGCTGGTCTTGAACTCCTGAGCTCAGGTAATTCACCCACCTCCCCAAAGTGCTAGGATAGGATTACAGGCGTGAGGCACCATCCCTGCCGAGAGATTTTACATCTATCTTTCTTCCCACCTTGATCCCCATCCCTCATAATACCCTCACAAAGTCATAAAATTCTCATGTAGAAGACATGATAGAAGGCATTTTTCTTGCTGAAAAGTGTTATCAAGCTTGCAAGGGAGAGAGCTATTTTCAGAGACCTTATAGGGAAGAAATCCTAGTCCTAGAGCATTGTATTCTTATACCCTGTGTTATTTTTACCTTTGTTGAAGATCCAGAGAGTGTAAATGCTCCATGATAGAAAGGACTTTGTCTGTTTTGCTCACCATTGAATCTCCAAAGGCTCAATAGTTAATGAATGAAGAAAATCTAATTCCAGATATATGACTGGAGAGCAAAAAGAGTATCTGATAATGTAGTCCAAACTAAATGCAAGCAGTGAAGTGATAAAGGAAGGATGTTAGCATGGGAGAAGGGGAACAGGTCATTTAATCTGGGAAACTTTCTTGCAGGAGGTGATTCTCGAGTTAAGTTTTGGTGTAGGTTGTGTGTCTGAAGATAAGTGGTGTCTAAGGGGGTAGACAGTGTGCAGCAAAGCATTCAAATCAGACTGAATAACTTGTGTCAGATTAAGCACAGTGAATCTTTTTTTGTAACATTATGAAGAATTTTTCTTCTCCCATCACAATTTTCAACTCTCCCTATATAAAAAGATTAACATGTTTTACTAGAGCAGAGATTTAGAGTACTTGAGTTTTGGAAATACAATGAGGGTCAGAAAATTTGAATTGGCGTTCTGACTCAATCTTATATAAGCATTGTTTCCATCAGCAAATCACTTGGCCTTAGCTTTCTCATTTGTAAAATCAGGATGATAATCCATGGTCGTTGGGAGAACAAAATTACATAATGCATGTGAAAGTGCCTACCTCAATATGAATGTGCCTACCCCAGCGTGTGACACATAGGAGGACTTCAGCAAATACAAAATTATTTAAAATGTATGTCTCCAGATCTTTAAAAAAATTTTTGATTCATTTATCATAAACTCTAATATTTGTTTGACTCATCTAGCTGACTTATGGTATTGTGTTTAAATTGATCAGAATCAAAATTCTAGATAATTTCCTTTCAGTCAGTTTAATGTTTTCTGATAGAAATGAGGCCTAATTGTAAGCCGGGCGCGGTGGCTCAAGCCTGTAATCTCAGCACTTTGGGAGGCCGAGGCGGGTGGATCACGAGGTCAAGAGATCGAGACCATCCTGGTCAACATGGTGAAACCCTGTCTCTACTAAAACTACAAAAAATTAGCTGGGCATGGTGGCGCGTACCTGTAATCCCAGCTACTCAGGAGGCTGAGGCAGGAGAATTGCCTGAACCCAGGAGGCGGAGGTTGCGGTGAGCTAAGATCGCGCCATTGCACTCCAGCCTGGGTAACAAGAGCGAAACTCCGTCTCCAAAAAAATAAATAAATAAATAAATAAATAAATAAGAAAAAAGAAATGAGGCCTAATTGTATTACTGCTTAATGTTGTAGACCACAAGGAATGCTAGAAGCCTCAAATTTTTGAACCTTGAAGTAAGGGATGTGTGTAGCTAAAAATCTGAGCCTTTAAGCTTTTTTTCTCTACAGAATTTGTTTTTGAAGAAATTGTCTTTGCCTGTAATGTCATTTATCCATTGTTGTGACAAAATAAGGGGTTTTCTAGTTAAGAAAAAATTTACCAAAAATATTTTCTATGTTTTTAGTGATGTGACTGTAAGTCATGAAGATATCTACTTTCTGTATTTTATTATAAAATTCAGTATTTCTTGAGCAAATGAATAGAAATCTGCATCATTTCTTATCTAAGCTTTTTGTGCCAGTAGCTATTTGTTCATTTATGAATCTCAGAATTTCATTATACTTTGTGAACTCTTTATAGTGTTTTTGATCCATGGAGCAGTCTGTCCTTTGTATAATATTTGGAAGAGAATTTTATTATAAAAAGACTAAGAAGAGTCTTGAGTCAAATGATAAAGAAGCCAGTTAGCTACTGATTTCCATATTCAAAAAGGACTGAACCAAAGAGGGAATGATTTCAGAGCTTGACTCTTTTCAAGTAAAAAGGAGAAACTTTTTGATTTAGAGTTGTTGCAAACATGATAGATTCAGAGGGGAATTGTTATAGGTCATATAATAGCTAATGTGTGTTGACTGCTATATACCAGGTACTGTACTGCTCCAGGAGTACTTGACATGTCATCACATTTAATCCTTACAACCATCCCCCAAATCAAGCTATTTTCTTTTTTTAAACCTGAGCAACTGACAGATGAAATAATGGTGGAGCCAGTATTTGAACTAAACCTGAGGCACAGAGAAGTTAAGTAGTAGGTGGTGGAGTCTACTAAAAGGATTTAAACTTGAGGTTTAACTTGACCTTTGACTTTGGAGCCTATCCTTTTAACCATCCTAATATATACTGCCTTGTATAATTTATTTGCAATTGCTCCTTATGATAGGTCTTGACTTTGTGATCTTCCTGAGTCTATTTTGGTTGGTGATTTATAAAATGCACTTTACTTTCTAAGAAGACGGAATACAGCCTTGATTTTTCCCCTCGTTTTACTTGTATTTGACTGACATCCTATTTTTAAATCTTAAAAATACTTGGAGTAAAGCAAATATTTA